AACTCGACCTTGGCAAGTCGTCATGGTTAATGTGCCAATACCGAAAATGTATGGGAATGGAGTTGCTTTGTTGATTTATTTCTGAGGTGTGCCTCGTTAAAACCTTCATTGGCCAAAAACCCTTTTCTTTAGTGGGAAAAAAGGCTGAGGAGGAAAAAGAGTACATCACCTGAATTTACAAGTTAAGAGAAATAAAATTTGAGGTGGGTGGAATTCCAAGTTCCAAATTTTCCTTTGGATGGGTCTGTTCTTGCTTCTCCCCGTAATCGCTAAACAAGGTCCCCAACTTTAAATGTTCGTGGCCTGACCTTGGTCTTGCTTTCCTTGTGGTTTGTCGCGAATTGCCTTGCGGAACTCGGCATGCTCCTCCATCTGGATGTACCCAACAGCTCGAGCTCGGAGCTCGTCCACGTCGGGAGGAGGTTGTCGGCAAAGGCTGTAGACGAAAGGTCCTGGCTTTAACGCCATGAGCATGGAGTGCAGTGCGACCTCGGGGTTTAAGTTACGAATTTTGACGGAGACGCCAGTGAAGCGCTCCATGAATGTCCTTAATGGTTCGTCGTTGCCCTGTCTAAGGCTGGCCAAGGCGGCGGATGTGATGTGATGAGGTCGGCTCGTTGCGTATTGCGCCGTGAATCACCTCACCAAAGTGTCGAAGCTATCGACTTATCCCATTGGCAATTGGGTATACTAGGCGAGTGCCGATCCCTTGAACGAGGTTTGAAAAACCCTACACAGAATAACATATTCATTAGTGTATAGGTTTACCTGTGTGACGTATAAGTCAATGTGTTCATCGGTTGAGGGGGCTGATCAGAAAGGCACCGAGGAAGCTGGGCGCGGGTACGCTCGGGTGAGAAAGGATTAGAATAGTTAAAAGCACGAGGATCTAGTTCAATTTTCATTGAGACCATCTTTGTAATCTTTCTTATTATTACAAAAAAAAATTAATTAAAATTAAAATAGAAAAAGAAATTATGACTTTATGACTATCAAATGTATCCTAATCAGTCTATAGTAGTATTTAATTTTTTATAAAAAAAAAAAAAACTATTGATATCAAGTTAATAATATATCATGTAAAATAAAATTAAAATAAAAAACATTTGGGAATATACATATATTGTCATGAACCGTCTAATAATTCTTTATTAATGGGAATGTTATTAGACATTTTAAGATCGTCAGGTCTCGATTAAACTCTACATAATATTTAATTTTTTTTGTTAATTTACGATAATAAAAATTAATAACATGTAATTATATATGATATAGAGAGTTATAATAGATGATACACTAGGTGTTAATAAACACGTGTTGAGAGGTTAGAGCATCTAAAACGCAGTGAATTTCTCTGCCATGACGTGTCCCGCAAATACGTCATTATTTGCAAGAAACTAAGTTTTGGGTTAGGGAATATGTATCCCTCTCATTTTAGGCACTGTTGTCGGATTTTAGGAGCATGCACTATGAATATCTGACTCAGTTAACGAAAATTTGGTTGTCTCCAGTTAACGAAAAATCGGTCTAACTACCATCCGACCGGACTGCCATAACAATTGGTTTGAGTGAACATATATTGAAGAAAACTCATAAGTATAAAACATCCTAAATGATGAATCTTATATTTTCTTTTTGGGTAATAGTCATGTTATCAATATTTTTTTTGGGTAATAGTCATGTTATCAATATAATTGTGAAAAACATGATAATTTTGTGATAATTGATGCACGTGATTCTTATTTTTCTTTTATTTACTCGTGTCTTTTAAAAATATTGTTGAAAATTGTTTTAATTTATTTATATTTTTTAATATATGAACAGAGAATAGTTATTTATATATAACTTTTAATTCAACTATAATAAAAATATTACATTGTTGTTTTATTTTTAAATTTAAATATAAAGTATCTTTTAAATTTTATAAAATATTTTTGTCACACATAATTTATCACATTACATCGAAATTAACACAGATAAATATAACATTCAACATAAATTGTACTAACAATTTAATTATGTATTCTTAAATTCATATTGTTCGTTCCAAGAGTAAAAGAACAAAGCTCGCATGCATATGGTTGATGGGGTGCACAAACACTAGAATTTGTGGCTTCCACGATATAGAAGGAATCCATTTCTTCGCACAGTATAGGTTCCTAAAACCTTTATCCCATACTAGAGTTAAACCATGGGAGAGTGCAAGGAGTTTAGATTTAGTACCATCTCCTTAAAGGAGGAAAAACCCAGAATCCAAGAAGATAGGTGGTCCCAGAACACACCACCACCACTGATATGCTTCCTCGACGAGAGGCTGTTTGTGATCTTTCAATCATTTAATTTTGGTTTTCAAAGTTTAATTGAATAATTTTTATTTATTAAATATTATAATTATGTGGTTTTACTTTCTCAAATTTTAATGGAGCAATTTTAATTTTTACAATTCAATGATAAAAACATTCTAAAAGTCATGTTATTCTTCTTAAAAGCACCAATTATATACGTATCCATATTATCTCCTCGTATAATCACCAATATATTAATGCATTTTACTAAATTAATAAAATTCACTTTAATTAATCTCATACACTATTTATCTATTTAAATTAAGACTTATCTTTCTCTTAACTAATTAGACTTATTCAGTGGGTACAGAGGTCCAGTGGGACGTGATTGTCTCTTGACTTGTTTGTACCTCGGGAGCATCTTCAGATCCCACCGTTGATTAATTGAATCACGAAGTTAGAACATTAAATTTAAATCTAAATGCTCGTCACTTTTTTATCATGTGTCGTAGTTAGATAGTTACGTTTGGCTTATGAGTCCATCCAAGACCCTTCCTATTTCGGAATCCACGCCAATTTTTTCTCATGTAAGTTCCTTCACTCGCGTGTAACATCATTTTCCATGTCTAAATCAAAATTATGCCTATCTTATCCTCGTGTTTCACAAAGAAAAATAAATAAATAAAATGAGTTAATTTCACCGATTTCATGACCTAACAAACATGCATACTAGTCCACACAGGTTCACTTAATTCGATTTCTTTTATTTATATTTTAAATTATAATATTATTTTTCAACAGTTTGTACCTAGGGAGCATCTTCAGGGCCGGGGGCACGTGATTGTCTATTGCTGTTTTTACCTTGGGAGCATCTTCAGATCCCACCGTTGATTAATTGAATCACGAAGTTAGTACATTAAATTTAAATCTAAATGCCCGTCACTTTTTTCTCATGTGTCGGTAGTTACATAGTTACGTTTGGCTTATGAGTCCATCCAAGACCCTTCCTTTCGCGGTACGCAGCACCGCTAGGTCAGTTTCGTGCTTGGCACGAATGTTTTACAGATCGGCGGTGTGTTGTTGCCTCATCTGCTCGACTTGTTCGATCAGCCTTCTCAATGCTGCTTCGTTGACCATGCTTGTTGTGCGATCTGCGCCATCTGTTGCGCGTCTACTATGGCTTCGGGTGAATACCATAAGCGTGGCCGATAAGAGCTGTCTTGATCGGCTCCACGGTGGGCGCCAAATGTTCTTACCGGAGATCGGTCGTAGGGGACGATCTATTGGGTATGATCGGTGAGCCTCCTTCGCTGGTACGCTTGCTGCTCCAAGACGGGGGTGGTACCTGCAAAAGAGACTCCGATGCTAAAGTTAGGGTTTGTGTGAGTATATGTCTCGTATAAGTAACGCACATACCTTTGTGTGTATTAGGGTTTTGTTGGGCCTTGGGCCCGAGATCAGTTTATGACCTAATTGGATAGCGAGTCGATGTCGCCTAGCGTGTGTCCGAGGTCACTCCACATTGTGATGCCGAGCTCGAGCTCGACATAGCGGTATGGATAGTACATGTTCCATTTACAAAAAATATCGGTTAAAACCTTTATTTGGTCCCTTATAATATTTTTTTGTTTCAATTTAATCTTACTTTAATTTTTGGTTTTAATTTGGTCCCTAATAATTTAAATTATTGCAATTTGGGACTTCCGTCCAAATGATATCAACAGAATTAACTGGTGACCATGTGGATGTCACATGGATGCCACGTAGATGGATCTAAAATGTCTTGAATATACCTGGAATCAGAACGGCCCGTTCTGAAACCAGAACGACCCGTTCTAGTTGTATTCTTGGTGTGTAAATTTTGTATATCAAGCACTAGATTTGGTAATATTGTCAATGAGGATTGATAACTTCAATTGTTAAACATTTAGGCTATACAGTATATCATTAAGGATGATGCAGTGTATCACTAAGAACAATGGTAGCAGATTTTATTTTATTGTTAGTCAAACTGGAGTAAACCACTTGATTAACTTTATTTTTTAAGCTCCTTTCCTGCATATGAATAAAAATTATTTATAATCATATAAATATAAAATTATAACAAATAAATTTAAACTCAAAATATTTAAGTAATTTTACCTGAAATTTTAAATCACTCCACTTATTATTGATTAACCAATTCCAATCATCAGGAGATACATTTTTTGGCCTTCCCTTCTTTTTGAGATATAGTTGATGTAAATGATAAAGCTTATTTTTGTATTGAGATTGAATTTGCTTCATTGCATATTCCTTAACCTCATCAGATAAACTTAATGCATCCTATGTCACATGAATATTATAAGAGAAACATAAACAAAACATTATCAAATGAAGTTTAAAAATATAAATTATGTTGAATGAAAGCAATAATCATACTAACCTTTATATGTTTCCACATTTCATCTACATCATCTTTAGCTATTTCACTCCAGCTATTAACTTGCAAAGGAGCTTTCTGGCGTATACAAACTTGTGCCTCTGACTTAAAATATTTTGCATGTTTTCCACATATCTTATAAAATGGTGGAGGAAATTGAATGTCAATATTTTTTCCTTTTGCCATAAGCCTTTTTTTTTCTTTTTAAATTTTGCATTAATTGTATGTCCACGTCCTTTCCTTATGGCATGATCACCTAAAATAAATAAGATAAATTAATAATATTTTATACTAATAATATTTTATTTTTTCCTAAAAAAGTGTCATAAAAGTACTTGAATTAGATTCAACTTGTTCTACATTCATAGTTTCTGAGGCATGAGCTGTCCTATTGAGTTGAGACTCATTCAGTTGTTTTTCAACGTGTGTAAATGGACCATTAGAGACTCTTTTAGAATTCAATCTCAATGGTCTTATAATCATATAAATAAAAATTATATGATTAACTTTATTTTTTAAGCTCCTTTCCTGCATATGAATAAAAATTATTTATAATCATATAAATATAAAATTATAACAAATAAATTTAAACTCAAAATATTTAAGTAATTTTACCTGAAATTTTAAATCACTCCACTTATTATTGATTAACCAATTCCAATCATCAGGAGATACATTTTTTGGCCTTCCCTTCTTTTTGAGATATAGTTGATGTAAATGATAAAGCTTATTTTTGTATTGAGATTGAATTTGCTTCATTGCATATTCCTTAACCTCATCAGATAAACTTAATGCATCCTATGTCACATGAATATTATAAGAGAAACAAAAACAAAACATTATCAAATGAAGTTTAAAAATATAAATTATGTTGAATGAAAGTAGTAACCATACTAACCTTCATATGTTTCCACATTTCATCTACATCATCTTTAGCTATTTCACTCCAACTATTAACTTGCAAAGGAACTTCCTGGCGTATACAAACTTGTGCCTCTGACTTAAAATATATTGCATGTTTTCCAACAAATTCTATTTAATTATTGCATATTTTTAAATTGTTTAAAAAAATTTAATTCTTTGAAAAAAATACAATTTAATAAAAATGAAAACAAAAAAAATAAGGTAAAGGCTGCTCAGAATTCGGCTCTCCAATAATCGAATTCCAGCAACCACCATCACTCGCCAAAGTATACAAATCAGTTCAAAATTTAGTTCCCGGGAAACCGAATTCTGAATGTGAAGAATAAACAGTTTCATTTTGGTACATAAGCTAAGTGTGGGTCCATTTGTGTAACTTTATTTTAAAAAAAATTGTTCTAGAAATTTTTTTTCACAACATCTCTACTTAAATAACTTGATTTGGATTTTAGGCACAAATAAATTTTAAAAAATACTTTATTTTTTTTTACCGTTTTATGTGATTTTTGCCATGTGACAATGTAATCAAATGGCGTAAGGTACAAACATTTTGTGCATGAACAAAAAGATAAATGGATGGCGCACAAAATATCTTACTTCATTTGTTTTTTGATGCTCAACCAGCTTTGTGTGCCATTTAAATGACGCATGGGGGCTTCTGCTCCATCCATATGGCATCTCTTCGTCTATAACGTGTCAGGGATGCAGGGACATGCGAATTCCCCTCCTCCATGCCCCTGATCCTCCTTCTCCTCTACAAATTTATTCTTACCCTCTTCTCTCATTCCTAATCTCTTTTTTCCCTTACTCTTGTAAATTTTTTTTTATTTATAATTTTTTGTTTAATTATTTATTTTTTTATTAATTTTTTTGTGTTATTTTGCCGGTTAAATAACTAAATTTAATTCTCTATTTGTTGTTGCAAATTGGTTACAAGTTAGTATATAAATTTTATTTTTTAAAATTCATTATATATTGTAAATTTAAGAAATATAATATATGTGTTTAAAATTTGATAAATATATAATTTTTTATAATAATTGAGCGACATATAAATATTAAATAATTATTTATTAATTTAAAATTAATTGTTAAAATATTTTAAAATATATGTAGATTTTATTTAGTTTAAATAAGTTAGTTAATATAGTTTGATTAAATTTGTAGTAAGTTATGAAATAAAAAGTAGATAAATTTTCAAAAAAATAAAGGTTTCCTTATGTTTATATGTTCCTAAAAAAATTTTAAGTGTTCTTGCTTTAAATATTGTGCGATGTTATAATTATTTTAAAATTAGTTGTACAATATTTTTAATAAAAATGTTTGAACTATTGAATTAGTTGGATTAGTTAAATAATATAATAATAATTTTGATAAAACTAATGTATATTATTTGGGTATGGGTAATTTAATTTTTTTGATTAAATTGTATTTTTTTTTTATTATTAGAATTGAATTGTTTGTAAAAATTTAACTATTAGAATTTAATGGATAGAGTAATTGTTAAAAATTAAATTTAACTATTTTAAAAATTAATTGTTAAAAATTCAATTTAACTATTTTAAATAATTTTAAGAGTTGTTAAAAATTAAATTGTTAGAATTAATAGAATGTGTAATTGTTTTGATTTTGATAGATGTTTGTAAATATATATTATAAGAATTAATTTAAAATATATATTTTTTGGTAAGATGGGAACGATTACAAGGATGGTCGCAATGATGATTGAACTTAGGCCTTCGTGATTCTAATTACCTCAATCCCTCCCCACCCAACCACTTGACTAACCCTAATGGTTAAATTAAAATATATTTTTAACATAACAACTGAATATATGCATTTAAAATATGATATAAAAATAAAATAATTTTAAGTATTAAATATATGGTGAAATTAATATCAGGTATAATTAGGATATTAACTATAATATTTAAATGAATAAAATAAACTATTTGATTTTTTTATCAGTAAATAAATTTTTTGATTGACAGAAAATAGATTATTTTTAAAAGCCATTTTTTACGAGCTCTAATTAGTTTAGTGTACTTTTTTTTACAATGTTAATATAAAGAAAATTAAATTTTATTAATATTATTCGAATTATTCACATTTATAATATTCAATAAAATACACTAGTCCACCCCTTGGCCGGAACATTTTGGCGCCCACTGATAGATATATTTTTACAGATTCTTTTATGTTTGGTTTATAGTATTTTAGACTTGTGTTGTTAATAGTTGGAGTGAAATAGCTAAAGATGATGTAGATGAAATGTGGAAACATATGAAGGTTAGTATGGTTACTACTTTCATTCAACATAATTTATATTTTTAAACTTCATTTGATAATGTTTTGTTTTTGTTTCTCTTATAATATTCATGTGACATAGGATGCATTAAGTTTATCTGATGAGGTTAAGGAATATGCAATGAAGCAAATTCAATCTCAATACAAAAATAAGCTTTATCATTTACATCAACTATATCTCAAAAAGAAGGGAAGGCCAAAAAATGTATCTCCTGATGATTGGAATTGGTTAATCAATAATAAGTGGAGTGATTTAAAATTTCAGGTAAAATTACTTAAATATTTTGAGTTTAAATTTATTTGTTATAATTTTATATTTATATGATTATAAATAATTTTTATTCATATGCAGGAAAGGAGCTTAAAAAATAAAGTTAATCGAAGCAAGCAAGAGATGAAATCAATTACCGGTACAAAATCAATTGTGCAAAAGGCATTTGAAATGGTAATATTTCATGTAAAATTCTTTGTACATTATATAAAACAATTGCCCTTTTTATTTTCATATAGAATAAGATATCAATAAATGTAAGGTTTGCAAATTTATAAAGTCATTCAACACTAAATTTTATTTTTGATAATTTAATCATTAATTTACTTGTATTATTTTATTATTTTATTTTAATAGAAACAAGAATCCAAAGCTGATGAATGGCCAAACGCTATGGAAGTTTGGAAAGCAACACGTATGAGATCTAATGGGACTTGGTGCATTCCAAATGGAGAACAAATTATGGTAAGTAAAAAGATATTTTATAGAATTTATGTTGTTATTAAATATAAAACATTAATTATATATGTTGTATGTGACATATTATATATAGTTGCAATTTTCTTTATGTGTTGATAGTTAGTAATAATGCTTTTATGCAATTTTTTAATATCTATTTGTGAACTAGTATAGTGAAACTTT